GTACACACACACACACACACACACACACACACACACACACACATATATATATATATATATATATATATATATATATATATATATATATATATATATATCGAGAGAGAGATAGAGATGGGGAATACAGGATGAATCTTTAGACGACGTGATGTTACGCGACATGGGCGAAATATTTATTTTTCAGATATATATTCATTAACTGGACAGCTCCAAGTCTGACACAGAAAATGAAAAGATGCGCCATACTCATGACACTAATACCAACAACAGCATATCAGATTGTCAGCTTCTTGAAAGTGACCAAGTGAACAGATCCCATGGTGATGCCTACCAAATTGACATTGTGTTTGATGCTCATGTGATCCTCATCTGGTTACCCAAACTTTTACCTCCTACAATACCACTGCCTACGTTGAGGTGCGGCACATAGTGATCAAGTTCTGGATGGAGACAGCTGCCATATGTGTTTCAGCAGAAGTCCGTTCCCTCTCACATGGCCCACATGACCAAGGAATAGCTGGCAGCGAATGTTCACGATCAAGTCTCCACTAATATATGGCCCTCCAACCATTCCTAGTTTAAATCTCTCATTATCTTAGAAAAGATTGTTCTCATAAGCACCGTCCACATATAGAAAATTTCACATACATTCAGAACAATCTCTCTTAATATAATATACCGAATAACCTTCTAAACTTTTCTCTACTTCACGTCTCAGGTGAAAAAAAAATTTCTAAATCAGGAAAACTTAATAATAATAAACTGATATTGACATAAAAGAGGTTTTCAAGTTCATGTCAGGTTCTCAGATGGTTAGCGAAAACCCATATGGGCGAGGCATGATCCGCATGCGAATGCAGAAGAGATCTTGTTGCAGTATTTGCTGAAATGAACTACAGTAGTTCTCTCAGAAACGTCAGATTATAATCTTGATGACATAGGGTAAGGCATAATTTCAGGACTGAAATATCATCACAGATTTCCTCAGGTGTCTTAAGAACAGTAATCATTTAATCGGGCGGCTTCAAATAGGAAAGCAAAAATATAAACTTTCTGATCGGCTACGCTAATGTATTTCCTTTCAAATTTGAATTTTTCATTCTGGGCTATTCTCTAGGTTGTAGGAGTTACAAAGAAATGATATCAAAACGCCAAGCATTTCCTTTGCTTTGTATAAATCACAATGTCTGTTTAACAACTTTTGATCATATGGAAACGTTTACACCCACAATATGCAATTTTATTTAAGTAACTGATATAAAAACGATATCAGAAGGTCGGTCATTTAAGCGATCCATTTATAAATAAGAAACATTGTCCAAAATCATATATGACTTCGCAATAGTGTTGTCAAACCACTTTCATTTATTTGTTAAAGTAAGCTCAGATTGGCACAGTAGAAAGTTGTGTACCTATCTATCTATTTATCTTTGTGTGTTTGTTTCTTATTGATATAACCATTATTTTACTTGGTACAAGTGTTTGAGTTCCTATCCCTATTTCTTATTGTTTAAACAGTGAAATTAATAACAACCGGCTGAAATAAAATTAATAACAATCGGCTGAAATAAAAAAAAGTCACAAAAAAAAACAAAAAAAAAAAACATAGATGACAACTCAAACACATGTATCCAATAATATAAATTATAACACAAAATGGAAGATTAAAAATTCATTAAAAAATGACTGTTGTTTACGTCTCGTGTACGAAATTGAAAACTATCAGGTATAAATTCATAGAAGCCCCAAAGAGAAATGTGCCTTCCTTAAATACATAATTCAAACCTTAGTATATCAAGATGGTTTCGGCAATAGAAGCAGTTTCGTTGATGAAAAAAGGGATAAAGTTACGATTCTTGTCGAGGGGCAGGATTTTCCTTTAGTAGGCATTCTTGATCTAGAACGGTTATTAATTTCACTGTTTCAGAAATAAAAAAAATCAGGACCCAAACGTGTACCTATTAAAAAAACAAAAAAACGAGAATTTGTAAATCCTTAAATGACCCATGTTCCCTGCGTTTACATTAAAAGCTGCATTTTATTAAGTTTCCTAAAAATAATGATCTCCTAAATCAGAGAAATGAATTGACAGTAATTTGTAGGTATTGTATAATGTTTACTTTAAAATATCGTTAAAAGATTTTTTCATAAAAATCTACGCATTACAATTACATATCCATTAATTTATTCATGTATAATGGTCCACATAATATTTATTTAATTCTTTGATTTTTCAACTTTAATATTGTCATGATTTATATTCCATTCAATATAATAAGTGTCGTAATTTAAGTTCAATATATATAAAAAATGTTTTAAACTAGCGGCCCCTTTAAGAAGGTTCAAATATAAAATTTTTTGTAAATCTTGAAATTCCTTAAAGATGACTTTTTGTTAAATATAACACTATGTCGACCTCACAGTGTCTAAACTTTATATTTGCAACACACACACACACACACAATAAATAGATATATACAGAGCATCTACTCAAATATGATTATCCATTTCAAATAAGGTTTAAACAAATAAATTAAATATTTCGGAATAATAAATGAAAGATCCATTCGCGCGCGCACACACACACACACACACACACACACACACACACACACACACAAGGGTGATATAATGGATAGCGGTAGGGAATCGGAAAGTCTAGTTCATTACATTCGTTATATTCGTTTCTCTTAGTTATGGGTGGAATAGATGAGGGACGACGTTTGGAGACCTTATGGCACAATATGTGTACCAGTTCTCTATATTGGTTTCTTCTGGTCGTACTGCACAAACCTTCACCACTATAATCAAATCATATGTGCGAACAGGTTGTTCACGACTAAGAACTGAGTGACTATACCCTGATACGGCGGGAGAGTCCATTATATACATATTGGCATAGTAGAATATCATATATATATATATATATATATATATATATATATATACAGAAAGAGGGAGAGAGAGAGGGTAAATAAATCAAATAGTACAGACTTATCTATCTATCTATCTATCTATCTATCTATCTATCTATCTATCTCTCTCTCTCTCTCTCTCTCTCTCTATATATATATATATATATATATATATAATTATATATTTATCTTAATTTATTTAACATTAATGCTCTATTTCTTAATATTAAGCACTTGATGTACTACTTGTCTGAAAAGCTTTATGTTCACCACAATACGCTATACGAGAGGGTTTTAAGCGAAAACAACCATTGTACAAGCCGTAAAAATCAGCATTCGAAAATGACTTTTAACACGTATCGAAACATCAAAAATACGTTCATATTAGGCTAAGTTTTTCCTAGTTCTTCCCTACTTTAAAAAGAAAGAGAAAATGACAGAATGTAATATTTTATATTCATTTTTTTGTACTTTATTTCTACAGTTGTTTTAATTACGATTCATTTATTTATTTATTTATCTATCTATCTATCTATCTATCTATCTATCTATCTATCTATCTATCTATCTGTTAAGGAAAATAAGATGTTAACCTATTTCGTGCCTACTCGACTCTGAATAACTGTCAGTAAGTAATACCCTGGTTTACTTACATAGGTCGAACGTCAGAATATATGTTGTACAATGTGTGATATTGTGATATCTAGTGTTTGGTAACATGTGATAAGGTAAACATATCAGTCAGGCGAATATGAGATATGCGTAAAAGGACATTGTTAATACGGAAATAGCCAGCCGACATGAGAGGAAGAAAGAAAGAATAAATGAAAGAAAGTGTATAAGAAAAAGCTAATAAGAAGAACGAGAAAGAGGAAAAGGAGAGAGTGAAGAAAAGGACAAATGAAAAAACGAAAAATAAGAGAAAAAAAAGAAAAAGAGAAGATATAGAGAGATATGACGAAAAATGGAAAGGTGCACAGAAAGAAATGAATGGAAGAAGGAGGCGGAAGAGTTTAGGGGACAAGTTCAAGTGAAAGAATGAGAAAGTCAGCAAACTACGAAAAAATGGATAAATGATGGAAAATAAGGGCGGACGGAAATAAAAGAGAAAAGAAGGAGGGAAAAATGAAGAATGAAAGAAAAAAAAAGGAGAGGAATGAGAATAAGAAAGAAATAAGAAATGAATCTATAGCAAAGAAATTAATAGTAGAAATAGAAAAGAAAGAGAAAAGAGATGCACCAAAAAAAAAAATGATTTGGAAAAGCAAAACAAAAACAATCGAGAAGAAAAGATGGTAGGATAAAAATGAAAATCTGGAAAACTTTGAGGAGTAAATTTCAAATGAGAAAGAAATGAAGAAAAGGAAGAGAAAAATAAATGTTGAAAAATAATGGAAGAAAAAACAAGAAAGGGAGAAATGGATGAAATTTTTTGGACGAAGGAAAGAATAAAAAGATAAGCTTTCGTCATGGCTAAGGTTTTTATGTATTTCATGCAGGAGCAGACTATCGCTGTTTGGGTCTAGGTAAAAGACAAGATTTCAAAGACAAGGTAAACTTACACATTAGAAGATTGGCGCGTCACAGTCTTCTCATTTTATTTATTTTGGTGCTGTAATTAGCTTCGTAAATAGAAAGAAAGAAAGGGAGCGAACTAAAACAGGGGAAGAAAAAGAGAAAAACGAAAAGAAAGAAAAAGAAAAAGTGAAAAATAAAAAAAGAATAGTAACTAAGAAAGAAGAAAGACTAAAAAGGAAGAAAGATAAGACAAGGAAGGGAGAGGAAACATGGAGAGAAAGGAAAAGATGAAAGAGAAACGATGGAAGAAAAACGAAAGAAAAAAAAAAGAGATTAGAAAAGAAATTCTTTTCTCATTCAAAAAGATCCTTAAAAAAGAAAAAAAAAAGAATCGAATGACTTTTTACATTTCAACACGCAATGTCTACTGAAACCTAAGTATCTTGCATGCTCTATTTTTTTCTTATCTTTCAATCACTCTCTTCGTGTGAGCATTCGATTGCTTTTAGTCTTTTTCATTATTTCTTCCATTCTCGCTTCTTTCGAAGAATAGTTGAACTAACATGAGATCACTAAAAAAGAGCATAGCATGATGAAAAAGACGCCAAACTTGACGAAAACAAAATTTTATCGTCTAAATGTTTATGTTATTATTAAGAGGAAAGATCAAATTTTATTTTAATTATTTAAAAAAAAATTTCCTTCTTTTAGAACATTCTGAATTTTGATTTTAAAATCCTTGTTTCTCTTTGTATCACCAGAACTAGTAAAATAAAATAGACAATTTTTAGCACGTACTTTTTTGTATGACAGACATTAATTTGGAAAATCTTGCAAAAATAAAGATAATTGTCGGATGTTAATGAAACTTTCAGAAACTATTTACAGATGATCAAAATTATTATAAATATGTTTTTTTTATTAAAGTCATGGCAGAAATATTTTTATATTTATTACCCACCCCTCCATAACTAATTTTATGAAAACTCTATAAATTCGATCGAGTCAACTTTAGTAATTACAATAGTTAAAAGCACAAGGCTTTGAGGAATGCAAATCATGTTTTTTTTTTGTTTTTAATTGGACGCCCCCACCTGAAAATCAGCTCTGAATTGTAACATACAAAACTCGATAAAACAAAGATATTATTTAATTTCGAATGCTTTTATTTGCTTTTAGTTTTTTTATGAATATGGACAATATATTCTGAAAGCAAAAAGTTTTTCGATGAAAAATGAATTTTTAAAACAATTATTTGTTATTTCTTTAATTATAATAGATTTTTACATTTAAGTTGTTAAAATATTATAAAATTAGTTGAAAGCCGCATCCACTTTCGTAAATGTTCTTATGAGATAGATCTATTTTAGCGCGTTGTAAATTGTATCGTTTTGACTAATCAGAAGACCCACAGTAATTAAGAAATTTAATTTTGTGTTTATAATCGAGCTGTAATTATAAAGTATGGAAGACCAACCAGAATGCAATTAAGTTGCATTATTTGAGTTAAGCATTCTTCTCTGCTGTTAAGGCCTTTTGCGAAACACGTGTGGAGAAGTTAATTTGATTTTTCAATTTCAACTGAGAAGGTTACCTACAAGTATCAGTATCATCCTATGCAATTTATATGATCTTATTTTTATATTAATCTCAGTTATGACATATCAAAATTAATAATAAAATGAATGGAAATACAAATAACACAGTAAAATTATAGTATTTTATGTACACTTCTGATAAAATTTCATAAGAAACGTGCCTATAAATTAATTAGATACCTTTCTTATGAAATTTAATCTAACTCTCAACAGTCTTATTTTAATTTCTTTATAATATATTTTCCATAAAGCATCGTAAACGTAAAGGTGAAAGCTAAGAACAAAAAACAAAACAAAAAAACAAAACAAAAAAAACAATTAGAGCGCTGAAAGTTTTCCTTAAAAATAACGAGGTAAATCATTTGTTCACTTAAATCTAAATAATTTCACTTTTCTCTTTCCGTAGAACAAATTTTCAGTACGTCATTCATCACCTGTGAAGTGACGCGTGAGATTATAACCTGCTTTGTTTTATTTTCAAATTACATCTTTTCAGCGCAGAAGCTAAATTAAGCTTGTTTCAAAATATTTTAAATAAACATTATACTTTCTGATTTTCTTAAAATAAGTTTTGAAAAAAGGATAAGTGATTTTTAAAAGAATTTCAAACTGAGATTTTCATTTTTTTATAAAATGGAAAAAAATGATTGCTATGATCGATTATCTGCCTATTTTGCTGACTCCAAAAAAAAAGAAAGAAAAAATTTTTAAGGAAAATTTCAGACATGCTAGAAACGATTAAAAAATGTAAAAAAATACCCCCAAAATACTTTGATCTTTCCTCCTTATAATAACATAAACATTTAGACGATAAAATTTTGTTTTCGTCAAGTTTGGCGCCTTTTTTAACATGCTATGTTCTTTTTTTTAGCGATCTAAGATATGGGACCATTATGTTAGTTTACCTAAACTAACATAATGGTCCCATATCTTATTAAAACCTGCCAATTTTGAATATGGGAGTAAAAAATTGACTGCTACCGTCTGGGTAGATAAAGTCATGGCGAGTGATTGATGCTCATTAACTCATTCTCTTCGCCACCCATCGTAAAATGTGAGTGATGAGATATTTTGGGGTCAAGATACCTGGCGATGTGACAGAATACAGGGAAAAATGGATTCGTGCCTTCACAAGGTAAAAGTCAAAATTCGAACACGGTGCACTGATCTAATTTCGGATGCCAATTTGATAAATAGATTTGGGGTTTAATAACTAACGACTGGTTTTGAATTGTGTCCAAAATTCCTCGATGTCATCATCATCGTATTATTATTATTATACATTTTTACACGATTTTTGTTATGGTTTAGATTAGAGCCCCTAAAGCAGATGGGTCACGTTTTGCATCACCTTCCAGTAACTCCTGCAGCAGCAGCAGCAGCAGCATATCCACCACCATCAACGGCCAAACTGTACTGCTTTCATCCTTTCTTTTGTGCTCTACCAGCAACGCCGAGAGGGCGATCATGACGACAGCTAAGATCTCCAAAGCTTTTCAGGACACCATCGTCTTCTGGGATAAATCACACTTTATTTTTTTAAATTTTCAATATGAAAATTGCAATATGAGCTCTGGTAAAAACATGGATTGACAGCAAAAATTGCAATATGAGCACTTGTAAAAAAGATGGTAAAGATATTAGGTTTATAATACTCAGAAATTTATACCGAGCTGCCCTCGAGGACGCATGGCACCGTGGATAAAGGCGTTGTTTAGATCCAGTAACAGGATCCAAAGAGTGTGAGTTCAAGACCTGGTTAAAGGCGGTGGAGAACTTAGAGAGGGGAATTAACTGCTGATAACTGATTTATAGTCTACCCACAGTGAGGGAAATGAAGGGTTCAGTTCGAAATTCCGACCACCTGAAAAAGGTCAGAGCGTACAATATTGTACATAATACCTCCTCTCAGAAATATAGACAGATACTATAATTTTCAAGTTGTTTCTACATTTATTTTATGACCACAAAATAAGCAGTATGAACCAAAATAAAATAAAATAAAGCTTTCAATTATATTTGAACGTACATCACTTAACATTGGAAACTTATTTTATCCATTAGGCTACGAAAACTCAATCAAAAGGACTTGCTCCAATTAGCCTTATAGCTATATTTTTTGTACTACGATCTACGAATATTGTTCATGAGTATTAAAATGACAGTATTGTGAAAATTATCATTCGAAATCCTGGCTTTTACCTGTGCTCGTATACCAACCACTGCATCACCGCCCAAAAATAATTTTGTGGTAGGTTCGCTTGTGTCTGTGAATGCATAACCAGACGTTTGGTGATATATAAATGCATTGAAACTGTATGAAGCGAAATAAAGATCCAAAAGTTTAAGAAATATGAAGTATACATTAAAATATGAATTCTCCTTAAGGGGATCAAATATTTCTTGCACAGTCCATGTTATTTTAACACACGGTTTCTGAACGAAAAAAAAAATGTTAATAATTTGAATGTTGATTTTTCCATTTTCATATATATATATATATATATATATATATATATATATATATATATATATATATATATATATATATATATATAATGGGAGAATATGATATATAAATTTTTATATAACAGAACAATGTTAGACAAATTAATGACAAAGTAGAAAAAATCCGGTGTAATGCTGTGTTCAATGAAATCTGAAAGGACGAAACGTGTTACACATTTTTTCCACTTTGTCATTCATTTGCCAAACACACACACACAAACACATAGACTCATATATATATATATATATATATATATATATATATATATATATATATATATATATATATATATGTCAGTTTGTTTTTGTGCTGGCAACACTTATGTTGCTTTCACAAATATTTATTCTTGCATAGTTTCCTTTGAAACTAAGGACAGTTGTCGATTTCAGGTCAATAGTAAAGAAACTAAAACTTCTACATGTTAAACAAATACGCTTATGCCGAGTAAGAAGAGATAAGAATGACGAAGGTGTTTAATGTTAAAAAATTTCGATTTCCTACTGGAATGAGACAGCAGTTAGTTTTACGAAGATCGAGTCTCACCGTAAGGTAATCATTAGCAACATCGTCCAGTGGGAACTACCCAGGAAATCTATCTTCGCTGAACATCCTACAATTGTGGTCATGTACCGTGTAAAACTATCCAATCTATAAAGTTGCCAGATAATTCGGCAGACATTTTCCCATCATTATTAATTATTTTGAAAGTGGTTATGTAGACTGTCAAAGAAAATTTTTTCTTTATTATTACAGTTAACAGTTATTACAGTCTTGATGAGAATTTAGTTCAAATCAAATAGTCTGATAACATGGCGTATAGTTGAGGGTCATATACTGCGTCCTTTCGATACAATGTGCCTATATCCTCTCAAAATAACATGCGGTAAGTTAGATTACAAGGAACCTCTGACCTAATGGAGAAAGTAAATTCGATAGAAACAACTTTCTTTAGAATTCTAACTTGGTTATACCAAATCCAGTAACTCTGATAAATATTTTCTAAGGCTAGTTTAGTTTTGCCACAAGTCGAAAGCATTATGCTGGTAAATGATCTAGCTTTTTAATGATAAGGTTGATAGTCAAGGTAGTTGCATATTTCCCGTTCGAATCGGTGTTCGAGCCCAGGTTACGAGTATTCGAATATTCATTTTGAAAATAGTAACAGGTCATCTCTGCAGCAACATAACACAAGACAGTTATCAATTTCTCCATATCACACTTCAAAGGGATAACTAAGACTAATTTGTAGATTATAATATGTCTTGTTTGATATCGGAGACTTGTTGAATCTGTAAGGGGATCATGCCAGTGGAGCATTTAACACCACCCATTCTGTGGCCTAAAATATATCAAGAATGAAAGTATAGATATGGATAGGTTGAACGTCACTAATGCAGAAATCACAAATCCAACAATTACAAAAATCATTCTATGATTCGGTAAGGTTATTTTTGATATTAGCAACAATAATTTAGCGGAAAATCAACAAATGAAGAAGAGAAAAAATCTCGTATAATATCTAATTTTTTCATCAAAATCTTTGTGCCTTAGATAAAAAGAAAGACTGGAGAATATTTTTATATAAAAATTGTCTACATTTGCAATTTTGTCACTGCGCCAGAATCTGGACGTCCAAACTTGGTTTGCGGTGCCAGCATCAGATCCACTGATGCAATGATAAACAGTCTTCTTTGGAAACGAAGGAAACACTGACCTTGGAGTAATAGATTTCTGCATAATGTAACAGTAATACAGTAGAAACATATCTATTTTAATCTTTAGAAAAAAGAAAAATAAGCATATATCTATATATGCGTCTTGTATCTCAGTAAACCAAGCAAGTTTTGCATTACACAAGTGACGAAGAAACGAATTTTTGTCGAACCAGTGCGCTGTGCATCTAAGGATATAAAATAGAAAAAATATATAACCAAATATATATATATATATATATATATATATATATATATATATATATATATATATATATATATAATCAGAAATGACATGTTCATCATTAATTAATCATAGCTAAGTATCGGAAGCTCGTGAAGGATTTAAATTAAGTTCAAATATACATATATTACCCCAAGATCATTTTCCAACTTATTCAAGATTATCTTCGTCCTCCTTAACCATCTCAATTTCTGTGTAACTAGGTGCTTCACACGTTTCACTTACGATTTCATTTTCAAGTCATTTTTCGGACAGTCATCATAAAAAATAAAACATTCCTATTCCTCTAGATACATGTATAACACAACACATATATTCAGTTAAAAGTAAAAATAGCATCATCCTTGATCATGGCTAAAAGTATACCCTAGGTAATTCCATGAGATCGCTAAAAAAGAGCATAGCATGACGAAAAAGACGCCAAACTTGACGAAAAGAAAACTTTATCGTCTAAATGTTTATGTTATTATTAAGAGGAAAGATCAAAGTATTTTGGGGATATTTTTTACATTTTTTTAATTGTTCCTAGCACGTCCAAAATTTTCGTTAAATATCTTGATTTTTGAGTCAGAAAAATTGACAGATAATCAATCATATCAACCATTTTTTTCCACTTTTTTAAAAAATGACAATCTCTGTTTGAAATTCTTTTAAAAATCATTTATAATTTTTTCAAAACTTATTTTAAGAAAATCAGAAATTATAATGTTTATTTAAAATATTTTGAAACAAGATTAACTTAGCTTCAGCGTCGAAATAATGTAGTTTGAAAATAAAACAAAGCAGGTTATAACCTTTCGCGTCACTTGACAGGTGACGAAAGACATTTTCATGACTTATTGATAGCTTACGTGAGGATAATTTATTCTACGGAAGGGGAGAAGTGAAATTATTTAGATTTAAGTGAACAAATTATTTACCTCGTTATTTTTAAGGAAATATTTTAACAACTTAAATGTAAAAATCTAAAATAATTAAAGGAATAACAAATGATTGTATTAAAAATTTATTTTTCATCGAAAAAATTTTTTGCTTTCAGAAAATATTGTCCATATTCATAAAAACAAGGAAAACTTTCAGCGCTCTATTTTTTTGTACTTAGCTTTCACCTTTACGTTTACTATGCTTTATGGAAAATATATTATAAAGAAATTAAAATAAGACTGTTGAGAGTGAGATTAAATTTCATAAAATTAAAATAAGATGACTCACTGAAAACCGTAAAACAACTTCACAAAATTGAAATTGCAATGAAATATGTAAATGAAATAAATGGTACTTTTAAAAATGTAGTAATGTTGCTGCTGAAAATGGCTTAGGATGGTGTTCAGATTTTTTTAAAGTAAAACGTAAAAAGTAAAAACGCTAATTCAAAATGCTCAACATGTGTTTCGCACGAAGAATTTGCAATAATGAGGCGTTCAGCGGAGAACGATTACACTCAAATCACGTGACATTTTATTGCTTATGACCATCCGTACTTTTTAATTACAGCCATTCTAACGATTTTTATAAACACAAAATCACATTTCTTAATTACTGCGGGTTTTCTGATTGGTCGAAATTAAACAATTTACAATGCGTTAAAAAATGATCTATCTCATAAGGACAGTTACGAAAGTGGATGCGGCTTTCAACTAATTCTATAATATTTTAACAACTTAAATGTAAAAATCTAAAATAATTAAAGGAATAACAAATGATTGTATTAAAAATTCATTTTTCATCGAAAAAATTTTTGGCTTTCCCAAAATATTGTCCATATTCATAAAAACAATTAAAAGCAATTAAAAGCATTTGAAATTAAATATCTTTGTTTTATTGAGTTTTGCATGTTACAATTCCGAGCTGATTTTCAGGTAGGGAGGAGTCCATTTAAAAAAAAAACATGATTTGCATTCCTCAGAGCTTTGTGCTTTTATTGGGGGGGGCAATAAATACAAAAATATATTTCTGCCATGACTTTAATGAAAAAAAAACAACATATTTATAATATTTTCCATC